AAGCCAGAAGTGGCTCTGTGGCTCAAGTGGTAGAGCACTAGCCTTGAGCTGAAGAGCTGAGGAATAGCGCCCAGGCCCAGAGTTCAAGTCCCATGACGGACCCCCCCCCAAAAAAAAAAAAGAGTAGAAAACTAGAAAAAAGTGAGGTAGGAGAAGCATGTTGTAATATTTATTTTTTGTTGTCGTTTGTTTTTGTCAGTCATGGGGCTTGAACTCTGGCCTGGGCCCTACCCCTGAACTCTTTAGTTCAAGGCTAGCATTCTATCACTTAAGCCACAGTTGCCATTCCAGTTTTCTGAGTGGTTAATTGAAGATAAGAGTCTGAGTACTTTCCTGCCTTTGAACCACAATCCTCAGATCTCAGCCTTCTGAGTAGTGTGAGCCACCAGTACCCGGCTGTAATCTTTTTTTGTCCTGGTCCTGGAGTTTGAACTCAGGGCTGGGAAGCTGTCTCTGAACTTTCCTGCTCAAGTCTAGTGCTTTCCAATTGAGCCACAACTCCATTTCTGGCTTTTTTGGTAGTTCATTGGAGATTAGAGTCTCACATGCTTTCCTGGGGTGGCTAGCTTTGAACTGTGGTCCTCAGATCTCTACTAAGTAGCTAAGATTACAGATTTGAGCCACCAGTACTCATTTTCCCATCTGTTTTTCTTTCCCAAACCATGAAATTAGAATCAGAGTGACATAAATAAATTTTTATTTAAAAAAGGTAGAATTCCTTATAAATAAAATAAATAATCCCCAGTAAACTATGAGGATAAATAATATCAAAATTTCCCTTCCCGTATAATAAATAAGCAATTTTTTACAGGTCAGCAATTTTTTTCAACACATAAATCCTATTAGAATGAGTGCACGAATTAACTTGTGTTAATTAGCTCCTATGTGTCAGAGCTAATAGTTTCATCTTGTTATAGTTGAGCTTTGGAGGTCTGGGTGTCATCCTTCAAGCTATTTGCTTTAGGGGCTCAGAGTTGCTGCTCCATGGGAAAAGACACGAGCAGCTACTGCCACAAAGGCCTGGAGGCTGCGAAGGATCTTGATGCGGAGAAGGGGGCGCTGCCATGGCTGGCTGGAACTGGGGATAGGAATCTGCTGAATTTCCCAGTGGTGACCCTCAGGCTAAAAAGACACAGGAGGTGGTCAGAAAGGACTCTTAAATCCTTACCCTCCAACCTCTACCTCTGACACTCTCCCCCTCCCACCCCCAATCTTGTAGTACCCTGATTCATACCGGCAGGAGTTGACTGAGGCCTAAAAGGGAGGCATGAAGCTGCCTTACAGGACCATCAGGCAGCAGAAAAGGTTCCCCTGTGAAAATATCGGAGCCCAGAAGCTTCTCATAAAAAACCAGACCCTGGTGGATCCTTTGCAAGCAGAACTAGGGGGAGAAGAAAGCAATGAGAGAATATGGATAGTCTCCATCCAAAGATCTATCCACTTCTCAGCCACAACTCCTAGGTCACAAATTCTCAGCCTCCACTGCCTTGTGGCCCAGCCTCATTTTAGCCTCATTTACCTGGCTGTTGTCCCTGAGTCCTTGTGGATCACAGCCATCCCCACACTGGATATGGGGGACTTCATCTGTAGTCTCTTCATCTTCCTCTTCTCTTAGAAGATCCTAGAATAGGAGAATGGGAAGAATGAAGGAAGATAAGTACCTTTGAAGCTAGATGTCAGTACCTAGCTACTCAAGAAGCTGAGATCTGAGGATCACAGAAGATAGTTCCTGCAGGAACATCTGTGAGACTCTTAGCTCCAGTTAATGGCCAAAAAGCCAGAAGTGGAGCTGTGGCTCAAGTGATAGAGCACTAACCTTGAGTGGAAAAAGCTAAGGGACAGTGCCCAGGCCCTGAGGTTCAAGCTCCAATAATGGCATGCACGCATACACTACAAAACCTGAGTCCTACTGGACTCTTAGGCCTGTCTGCCTGTCTCAGGAATTCCGTCTTTTTCTCATCTCCTGAGGCCTTCAGCCACAGCTTCCACCCAACCCTGCAGCCTTAGAGGGATTGGAGAGGTTCCCAGAGGCTGACACTTACCATGTGTCCCACTGGTGAGTGTGCATTCCAGGCCAATGTGCAGATCTTCTGTGAAAGCTTCTGACACTGGTCCCAGGCAGGGTTGCCACCCCCAGGCACAGCCCGGCCTTGAGCAATCCAGGGCAGCAACAACAGCACCACCACAGCTGGGTTCTCAAGCAGCATGTTGCCTGCTTCTCAAATCTGGCTGGTTCTGTGACCTGCAACAACCTTTGTGGAATCTCTACCCACTTCCACTTGCTCTGAGCCTCCCTCTCTGTTCTGTCTCGGCTGTGATTCTCTCCGTTGTTCGGGGTTTCAGAGCTCGCTTCCCGTTGTTTTTCTCCCTTTGTCTCTGTGACTAGAGCTCTTTTTAAGGACCTTGCATCTCAAGGCCCGCCCTTTACACTCAGGTGACTCACAGCAGGTGGGATTCCCCTCCCAGCATCATCTCCCTCTGTGGACAGCCCAGGTATATAGCCTCAGTTCTAGGGGAAAGAATGGTGAGATTGCTGTGACTAGAGACCTAGGATGGGCCACTCGTGTGTAATGCTCTCCAGGAATTGAAATGGCTATAGAAAGGGCAGGGAAGTTAATGAGAACACTTGAATGAACATGGTCTCAAGTTCCTTCCTGCTGTTTAATAATATGTCTCTGATCTTTTTGCTTCTCCAAGCTTTACCCCTACTCCACCCCAAACTCATTTCCTCATTTCCTCTTGCCTGAAGAAAAACCAAAACAGAGAAGCAGTCACTGGTCTCCCCACAGGATGATGAACTCAGCTTGAAATGAAGGTTGGCTCCTATGCGATGTTTGCTGTCTAGGAACAAGGGCTTCTTTTCTCCATTGGAAACTTGTTTTCACTGGATGGTTCTGCAGAGATGTCCCAGGAGAGGATGGACATACACAACTACTTTATGACCTAGGAAGCCATTTAAGTACTAAGTATGGTGTTATTGCATCACTTCAGGTCCCACTGTAGAGAGCACTTTGGGGGAACTATTTTACAACCCACTTAGTGGTCTGAGGTTTCATGGGTTTCATGGGTTCTGTGACATTCAGTTGATGATGATTTTTTCTTTCAGGATATCAGTGTAAGCAAGGACTGGAAGTGCAACTCAGATATTCTAGCACGGGCTCCTACCCCATGGCTAGAAAGTCCAGGAGTTACACGCGGTTGAAGGCACACAGTGACAATGACCCTGGCTGGTCCTTCAGCCTATTGCATCCATGGGTAAAATCCACTGACGTTGCTTTCATCACTTCCTGATGCAATATCTATTGAAACAGCTCAGAGCATGAGATTGGGTGTGGGAGTGCTGGGTGGTCTGAAGCTGGGACTGCCCCAACCCCTGTGGAGGGTTCCAGAATAATTTGAATGTCAGAAAGAGGCCATCAGTGAACACAGGGCTGGCTCTCAAAGCCACCCCAAGAAGTTGACTTTTTTCTTCTCAGAAACTTGATCTCCATAGAAGCCTCCTTTCCTTTAGAACTATTTAAAACTGGCCAATTTCTGCTTCAAATATTATGGTTTTGCGATGTCTACCCTTTGGATATAATATTTCCAGCATTCCAGCTCAGGCTGGGCACCGGTGGCTCACACCTATAATCCTAGCTACTCAGGAGGTTGAGATCTGAGGATCATAGTTCAAAGCCAGGCAGAAAAGCCCATGAGACTTTTACTTCCAATTAACCATCAGAAAACTGGAAGTGGTGCTGTGCCTCAAGGTGATAGAGTGCTAGCTTTGGGTCAAAAAGCTCAGGGGTAGGGCCCAGGCTCTAAGTTCAAGCCTCATGACTGACCAAAAAAATAAAAGGAGAAAGAATTAGCTCAAGCCAGGTACTGCAGGTACTGGTGGCTCATGCCAGTAATCCCAGCTGCTCAGGAGGCTGAGATATGAGGATCATAGCTCAAAACCAGCCTGGCCAGGAAAGCCAGCCTGACCAACAAAAAAGCCAGAAGTAGAGGTCTGGCTGAAGTGGTAAAGAGCCTTCCTTGACCCTGATTTCATGGTCCAGTATCCCCACAAAAAAGGGAAAAAATAAAAAGAATTAGTTCATATAATGAACTAGTAGTGAGTGTCCTCACTACTCTGAGGACACTCTCCCAATTTAACCTGT